TGTGTGTGTGTGTGTGTGTGTGTGTGTGTGTGTGTGTGTGTGTGTGTGTGTGTGTGTGTGTGTGTGTGAGCAGTGTTATTTAAAATGTGCTCAGAGCTTTCAGAAGACGTCAGGATGATGGATCAGGTTGTAATCAGAGGTCAGTTCAGGGAGGGGCCACTGACTGACTGAACCATGCCCGACCTTACCCTGCATGCCTGTGGGGCCGAAGCCTTGGCGGGTGAGGAAAATTGCGTGGTCGTGGTGTTCGGCGTGATCAGGGTCACCTTTCTGTTGCACAAAGGCCCAGCGGCACACGTTCTCCAAACTCCGTGASGGGTTTCCTCTTTCAATGAGGCTGATGGACTGGAGACAAGAGGAACAATGCTCAACACGGTGTCCTGCAGCAGCTCACAGGAACTGAACTTTAGTGTGAACGAAGTGACTGAGACAGAAATCAAGCATCAGAGAGAAGGAGGGTTTGAGTTAGCAGCTCTTTGAATGTCTCATAAGAACTAAGGTGAGCAGACCTGAGACCCTGATAGGATGTTTGGAGGGAATAAGTTACATGATCAGAAATCCTCTTCATGCTGTGCTGAGTCATCCTGTTCCACTTCATGGATTCATGACTCATCAGATTGTGGATGGTTAGTTCAACATCTATCACTGAGTTTGTTTGAACTCTGACAAAAACCAAACGTCTCTGCAGGTTTTACTGCAGGATGTTGGAAAGGACAACTGGACAAGCTCCGATTCAGGAGGAGGTGTGTACCTGACACATGCAAAGGATTCAGTGCAGTTCAAAACTCACCTTGGCATATCCCAGCATGATCATCCTCACCAGAACCACATTGATGTGGACCCCCAGAGACTCGTCATGGTAAATCTCATTTACCTGAGAACAGAAGCACAAACATCTGCAGCCTTAGTGACATCATCCATCTGCTGACTCAGGTCTTTAAGGTCAGCTCAGAGCAGAGACAAACAGCTGCAGGAGTCAGAGTCACAAACATGTGGTTCCTTCTGACAGCAGCAAACACACCGAGACAGGCTGGCCACGCCCATTTCTACCCTGACTGGACACAAGAAAACATCTGCAGAACTTCAGAGAACTTCAGAGAACTTCAGAGAACTTCAGAGAACTTTATAGAACTTTATAGAACTTCAGAGAACTTTAGAGAACTTCAGAGAACTTTAGAGAACTTCAGAGAACTTCAGAGAATTTCAGAGAACTTTATAGAACTTTATAGAACTTTATAGAACTTCAGAGAACTTTAGAGAACTTCAGAGAACTTTAGAGAACTTCAGAGAACTTCAGAGAACTTTATAGAACTTCAGAGAACTTTAGAGAACTTCAGAGAACTTTATAGAACTTTATAGAAACTCTTGATTACATAAGTTCAGATATATCTAAAGTTATCCATCCATCATCCATCCATCCATCCATCATCCATCATCCATCATCCATCCATCCATCCATCCATCCATCCATCCATCCATCCATCAATCCATCCATCCATCC